GTAATCGCTAGTATTAGCGAATTCTCACCTTGGTCATTCCAACTCATAGAATGGCGGCGAGTTATTCTACACTGCCTCTTGCTGCAAATAGGTGAAAACGTTTTATTTTATTCGTTATTTCCTAGGTACCAATTGGTTTTTATCTAAAATACCTTATTTTTATCTTTAGATGTCAGAAGTTTCACAAAGATCCACGCCATTAATTTAGTCATACGCATTACCCATTAATTTAGTCATACGCAAAAGTCTTGATACCTTGAGCTGCAGAGAATTAAAATGAAAAATTACACATATTTTTGGGAGACCGAAAACTATTTAAATTTAAATTTAAATATTTAATTATTTAAAGTATTTTGTAGCATTTTTTACTCTAGTTTTTATTAAACTTAACCATTAAGAACAAAGATTTATTTTTTTGTGACAAAAATTGAGCAAAAGGGATGAATGGTCAAAAAAAAGTCTTGATACGCAAAAGTCTTGATACCTTCATAAAAAACAAAAATTCTATTACTTTGTCGGAGCGCCTTGACTGAAATTACTACCTGAATCCTCTTGAGCATTGAGTCTACAAGATCGTGCAGAATTTTGAGCGGAATCGTTTGTCATTTTCTTCTGATCAAGTACCTATCTGAACGTCATCGAGCACTTCTGGGCATTTGTGAAGTCAAAAGTGAAGGGACGGCGCTTCAACTCAAAAGCGGACCTATGGTACTTGATCAGAAGGAAATGACAAACGATTCCGCTCAAAATTCTGCACGATCTAACAAATCTCACAAAAAAATTGTTTTTCTCACAAACAAAAACCGAAGCGAAAACGAAAGTCGAAGATGAATTTTGCTTTAAATCGAAATGGAGCTAAAAGCGAAAAGGAATTTTCGTTTTGCAACTGAAATCATATCAAATAAAAAAAAAATCTTGATTTCTTTTGTCTACCTGTCATCTATGGTTGCCTGTAAAGAGTTTCGGTTTCTCAGATATCACACTATTCAGAAGGACTGTCAGCCCAGTAAACTAGCTGCAGTTTCTCACAAAGTTCAATACATTTATTCATGTATGGTATTTGCTTAAAGCCAACTTGAGCAGGAATTCTCGATTCGGGGAAATTTGTTCCCGAAACTCTCCGAAAGAACATTGTTTATAACCACTCGCAATATAAAAATTTAACGCCCCGGTTCTCGCAGAATTGTTATTTAACGTTCGGCTCCACTTTTCCAAACTCTTCTCGCGTCGTTATCAATGCCATCAATCCCGTGATTAACAGCGAAAGCAACGGGTGGAAGGTCGGGAAAAGTCCTGCTTCGATAACATTGCCCGGACCGGATTGGGAATTGTACTTAATTTTTTTTTCTTTTTTTACCTGAGATTACTGAGCTAGCGACAACTAAGTTTCAATGTATTCTTCACAAAATGCTCAACGATTAAAGAAATAGTGTTGTGAGTGGGATGTTAATCTCTAGGAAACACGTCTCCGATAACTTTTGGAATTCTGTAAAAGGTTGGAATTGGACATCATTTCTCTTGAGATTCATATGAGAGGGTTCAATTCATTTCTGTTTACTCTGCTTTTTTATTCTGTTCACGGGGAAAAAAGCATTTTCTATTTAACTGAAGAGAATCCATCGTTCGCCATTCATGGAGTAAAATTAGCTGAATTGGGAGTGAGTTGATAGAATTTATACGGAATAGGACGAAATGTAGAGAATCACGATAAATGGCTGTGATGGATGCGATTTTCTGATTGATTTCTCCCATCGGAATTGCTCAAAGTCATCGAAAGGGGTAGCTAGTTTTAAAAAAGTACTGATCCGTTTTTGCTTTGCCTGTAATTAAATGACGTTTGATAAAGGAATCAGTTTGTGCATGTACTGTATAATTTTTATAGCAACAAAGTTTTAGGATGTTTATGTGCACAGGGAAGGAAATATAATACTCTGCTTAGACCCATATCCATTCACAATCAATGGTCGATCACCGTCGGACCCCATTTGCCGATTAAGGTAGCAAAGCTCTAAAAAGAAATACGACCGACTCTCGATTTAACGAAGGCCAGCTCTCCGTCCCATGTCATGGTTTTGTGTTCAAATTCCCCTCGATTCAACGATTTTTTTTTCCGATCTCTTGAGATACGTTAAATCGAGAGTCAACTGTATTATGGCCTATTCACTATTGAAGGTTAATGCTCAGAATAAAAGCTTTTGACAAATGCGCCCTTTTGTAATTACTATAAGTATTATTGCTTAGACCGTTCATTGAAGACGACACGACAATACACCAAAATGGAACGGTGCTATACTATTGCCACTATGAGATCGAAAAAGAGAAGATCCTGACTGTGGAGGGACGAAGTGATTCAGCATTTAACGAATATGCCATCTCGTTTCGAGTCAAAAAATGGGTCAATGGTGGGTTGATCGCTTCGATACCGTAGAACGATTCTCACGGAACCAGCCGTCATTCTCGTTATATCGGGGTTCACTATAATGGAAGAATGTTCGATGTAACTGATTATGGTATTCGCCATAAAGAGGGTCAATTGTACAGGGGTCAAATTTGCCTTTACTACATTTATATGTAATAATGTTAATGTTTGTTGTATAAAAACTCCCTTGATCACTTCTTTAAAGCTGCTTCACTTGTGTAGTTTTTTTTCAGAGGTGCTTACAAGCGAAAGTGTTCGCTTGTAAGTACCTCTGATAGTGCAGCGGCCTGGGAGGGTTACAAAGAAGTAGTATTGCGCTAGAAAGTACGCCATCTTTGAAATGAAATATTATAGAATCAATGAACGTGGTGGTTGTCCCGGGAAGCTCCAGGCTTTGTTTCACCGAAGAACTCGTGATCGAAAGCGATTCAATGGCCATTTTCGTCGCAAACCCACTCGCCTACAGGCCAGTTTGAATAAATTTTTCTTAGAAATACAACCGGCACTTATAGGAATCGAAGCTTCGGCTCTTATATGGAATTTTTCGTCTTCGGATTAGATAATAGCGTGGGCGAGTCGACCTTTGTTTGGGTTTGCTTCTGATTCTATAAAATATGACCCATTTTCCAGCCCGACTTGACCTGTCTTTCTGATGTTCATTGTGCTGTGTTCTATGGCTCGGATCCTGGATTGCTGTCATCAAAGACTCGTGCTCTCAGCTTCGATGAGCATCTATTTCGGTAGGGTTCATGCCTGCTATGAGAAGCCAAAGTGCTGACTCCTCCATGCACAAGTTTTTATGGTGTTGGCTCAGCCGAAGACCTCCCTAGCGAAGGCAAAAATCGTGATGCCGACCCATGTGAAATTTGCATGTGGATGAGTGAGTGCACATGAGATGCATTTGGATGAGTGAATGCACATGAGATGCATGTGGAATTTGCATTAGGCGGAGCCGGCTCCGTGACTTGTTCAAATCTATTAAACCTTTTAGAAGTCTAATCTTCGAGTGCGGTATTCCCTTTGTTTTCAGATACTTCCCGTCGCGATCTTCTGTAACGACACTCTACGCAACCGAGTGTTCCTATGTTGTGGACTTTAGTTCATGTAAGGAAAGGAAAGAACCAAAAGACCCGTCTCGTTTGAGCTAGTCCAAATCAAAAATGGATTCCTTCAAGTGTTTACAGAAAATGATCCAAATCTGAATGACTCGCCAAACTGTACAGGATACGTCAAAATACGATGGGCAGTAGGAAAAGAAAGAACCGAGCTCTTATTTTTCTTGTTTTTTTTTTCCCTTTTCTACTCGCTTTGTTTGTTGTTTTATCATTGTTTACAAGTTTCACTAATGTTTTTTTTAATTTAGACAATCGTTTGCTACAATGGTGAAACCGTCCATTCATCGTCAATCTATCTTCATCAACGCGGTTTTTCGACACGGTCGATTCAAAAACGTTTGGGAATGGAAGAACGACTTGTTTTCAAAACGACTGCCCGATTCAAGCAATTGGGAAACAATCAGGGCCGTTTTGGAAGAGGACGAAAGCGTAACATGATCGCAAAAGCGGCTATCAGGAGGATATGTGAACGAATTCGAAGGAACATCCACCAAAGGCGCCAAATGTCACGAGAAATGCTGATTTCCGAAGCGACAATGAGGCGAATTGTGCGAAAAGAGCTAAAAATGAAAGCTTCCAAGGAAAATAAGTGTCAAGGTTTGACCGATGCTGTTAAACAAAAGCGAATGGTTCGTTTCAAGATCTCTTACGGAGATTCCCAGGAAAGCAATACCACGATGTTTAGAGATGTTAGAGAGAATCGGTTTAGAGATGAAAAGTTGTTCACGGTTGAACAAGTACTGAACAAGCAAAATAATCTGATTTATGCCGTTAGAAATCTTCATACGACAGTGAAACGAGTCTCTCGTCCAGCTTCCTTGATGGTTTGGGGTGGGATCACAGCCGACCGAAAGACTCCACTCATCTTGGTACTTGCAGAAGTGAAAATCAACGAAAACGAGTACCTCTACTCCCTGAAGACACATGTTTCACCTTGGGCTCAATCTCACTTTGAATTTGGTTTTGGACTTTGAACGTTGGACCTTCCAACAAGATCTCCAGGCGAAAAGGTTCATTTTGTTCAGAATTAGTGCGCCCAGAAATTAGAAATTCTCGGATTTCAATGAATCCCTCGAGTCCGGAGGTCACTCCAATGGATTACTCGGTTCGAAGTGTCCTCGAAGCAATGGCTTGACAAAAACCACACAAAGCCATCGATTTGTTGAAGAAAGCATTGATCAAAGCCTGGGATGATCTCGATGTTTCCTATTTGGAGGAACTTGATGAACTTTCTTACTCGGGTTCCTTTCTCACTTCGTAATTTTCTTAGCTTTTTTGATGGCCCATAATTTTGGCGTACCCTGTATATTGGCAGTGTGAAATAAAATACACAAGTGCCGATTTACAGTTGATGCGATTCAGTTGTTTAACTAACAAATGACTTGGAGGCTGAATTACGATTTATCTAAGATATCTTTTCTCTTTTTCGGCGCATCTTGCAGTTAGCCTAAAATGGGTTAAAAAAGAAATGGAATCCATGAACTAGAGCTTCTAAAATTTCTCTCAAAAAGACACTACAGGAATCAGTTTGAACATGTACTGTATAATATTATAGCAACAACAAAGTTTTAGGATGTTTATGGGCGCAGGGAAGGAAACGTAAGCCTAAGCCTAAGCCTAAGCCTAAGCCTAAGCCTAAGCCTAAGCCTAAGCCTAAGCCTAAGCCTAAGCCTAAGCCTAAGCCTAAGCCTAAGCCTAAGCCTCTGCTTTGAATCAATAGACACTAAAGATAAATAAATCTAGCCTATTTCAAGGTCTTTAGATATTATTGTCAGCATTGACCTTACAAGATGCATGTGCAATACTATTTGGTTGTCCAGTTATGAATGCGCGTTTTTACTATTTTGTAAATTTCTCAAGATATCGAACAGGTGTATATGAGTGTTATATATCATTCGAAAGCTGAAGATCTCCTCTAAATTTTGGAATAAAAAAGTTTTTGAATTCATTCAACTTTCTGGGAAATTGACACTGCACAAAGGGAGAGGTCGTTTTCGAAAAAACCCATTTCAGCTTAGCTATTCCTCAAGTTTTATGGTGTAAAATAACCGCCCAGAAAAGAAAAGAAAAGAAAAGATGCTCTGAAATTGTTATATTTTAAAAAATTGTATTGATATATCTATTGGCCAAACATCAAACGGCTAACTCAATTTGAGCGGAGCCAAAACTTGATCCAAAGGCCACCTTCCATTTTTCGGCCACCTCTTCTTCTGTGCAGTCAATTTGCCCAAAAGCTGAACAAATTCAAAAACTTTTTATATCAAAATGTAGAGGAGATCTTCAGCTTTCGAATAATACTCATATATATCTTTTTCTTGATTTCGGTATCTTGAGAAATTTACAAAATAGTAAAAAACGCGCATTCATAACTGGACAAACCAATAATATAATGATATTTGGGTCTCGAGCGCTTAGTTGCCTTCAGCACTTTTTTTTGACTGAATATCTTAAAATTAAAAGGTTTCAAAACAAAAACTGATTGCACATTCGGAAGCAGCACATCGATTTCCATCTGTTCACCAGTCTGCATGGCGATTAGCCATCTTAGCAATGAAACGGTCAATAGCTAGTGAGATTCTCCTACCTCAGTTGAATAACTAACTACTATAGCTTGGAAAGGACCTTGTTAATCGAGTTTAGCTAAAATTCCATGCAATAATGTAATAACTAAATGAGCTGTTACCGTATTTTCAAAATGGTTCTCCGGTTTGAAGGCACCGACTCGCCGGAAACGTCTTTCAACTACTTGGACATGGTTTCCTTTCTGACTTCGTACAATTATCCGTGGATATTCGATGATCCAACGAAATTCGATCATTGCCAGACATTTCAGCCAACATTCTCCATTTTCACGGTAGAAAACAGCTAATCATATAACTAGGATTTATAGCTAACGAAGTTTAGTCAAAAACCGAAAGACTCGTCTCGTTTGAGTTAATCCAAATTGAAAATGGATTCCTCCAAGTGTTTGCTGGACATGATCCAAATCTGAATGATCCGCCAAACTGTGCATTGGCAGTGTGGAACGAAATACACAAGTATCGATTTGCCGCCATAGTTGAAGCTGAATTACTTAGAATATCTTTATCTTTTTTAGACATGTACCTTTAAGTCCCCCTGAGTTGGTGAAATTAGAAAAAACTTGATGAACTTTTTACTATTTTTAAGGTCTATATATCTGACTACTGTTACCCGTACCTCTTTGAGAATATGTTTATTTGGAGTTTGAGTGTTTAGTTAAGTAAAGGAAGAAAAAACACAACGAAAACAACTACTAGAATTTTATAAAATTCATGTTTTTTCAAGTTAAAAGGTATCAATTTTAAAAACAATTTCTAAATTTTTTTTGATAAACTCACAGATAAAGATTAGAACCGAAGCATGCGAGATGACAAAGTGATCTTTGAGGATCACTGATGAGCTCGGTTCTTTCGTCTAGATTCAATTTTCTTATTTGTATATGTCGTAGCCGCTTACGAAATTCAGCCGCTAACGAATGAGGGTTTTTCCGGGCATCCAATCAAAAAGTCACCCACATAAAAAATGTTCATAATACATACATATTTTATAATATATTTTTGAAATTAGCTCATTTGGTTCAGTAGAAAATTTTTTTTGAGCCCCCAAAGTTTAGGTTCAAAAATGCCCTAAAATGGCTATAAAAAATTTTTTACTCAGCCAAAAAACTTGCATAATAGCTCATTTTGTAGCCAATTTGATGTAGATTCTTAAAGGAAAGCTACATTGAACATTTGTTTTTCAAAGCTAGGAGAAAGAGGGCGAGGAACGACTTCAGTTGAACTCGGTCGCTGTTTTCACATTTGAGAATTGCCCTGAATTTGTTCCTCGCCATCTTTCTCCTACTCTCAACGAAAAATTGTTTTAGATGGCTTTACTTTAAGAAACTACATCAAATTGGCTACAAAATGAGCTATTAGGCAAGATTTTTGGCTGAGTAGAAAATTTTTTATAACCATTTTAGGGCATTTTTGAACCTAAACTTTGGGGGCTCAAAAAAAATTTTCTACTGAACCAAATGAGTTAATTTCAAAAATTTATTATAAAATGTATGTATTATGAACATTTTTTATGTGGGTGACTTTTTGATTGGATGCCCGGAAAAACCCTCATTCGTTAGCGGCTGAATTTCGTAAACGGCTACGACATATATATCTGACTACTGTTACCCGTACCTCTTTGACAATATGTTTATTTGGAGTTTGAGTGTTTAGTTTTACATTCTTTCGTCGACCCTATTCTCTAGTAGCCCTTATATCTCGCTTTAATTTGATAGTGTTAGTGCAATTTCCATATCTCAATTAGGAAAAAATGGAGTTAGTGTTTCAAAAGCACATGACGCTGGGGCACGATTTCGAATAGAAATATTAGCGATATTATATTATATCGAGTATTGTTAAATCGATAGCCGACTGTACAATGGGCTTGGGAAGGGTTTTATTGATTGAGTTTCGTTAACACGTTGACGACATTGTCACCTGATGCTGTCTGACACATATTCGTTCGCCCGAGACATTGTCACCTGATGTCAGGTGACAGTACCAAAATTGATTTTTTTTGTGCATATTTATGTTTGCTGATGATGGATATTAAATAAGCAAGTAGGGTAGGTCTAATAGGTTGATGCATAAGTGTTTTTGTTCCTTTTCGTCTGCCGTTTCAAGCCAACAAATGCACCAATTAAACTACGGTTGATTTCATTAGAAAAACCAATTATTTTTCTGCCAAATAACATTAAAACGGGTTTAAAAATATTTAATGCCTGGATTTTCTTGAGAGTATGAAGTCGGGTAGTCAAAAAGGGCTAACCCGATGATGCGGTTTAGACACCTTAGCTAAAGAAAACCTATCTTCGTGTCAATAGATAAAAGATAGAGAAAAAAAAACGTTTGATATTTCGCCAAAATTTCAGAGAAATTCATTCAGCCAATTTTTCCGTAGAGTTTTTTATAGATTTTTACGAAAAAGGCGTTTTTCACTCTCGAATTTGCTTGAAAGTGAACCGAAATTCATTTAAAAAGATGCTAATTGAACAAAAAAACACTTTTTTTTATAGAGCAAACTATAGATTAATTGGTGAATTTGTTACTTTTTAACAGAAGTACGAAAAAAAACGAAAAGACTTATGCATCAACCTAATATATTCGACTTGGTCCCGGAAAATGTCGATTTAACCGTTGAAAAAGAACTCTGTGGGACATTGTCACCTGATGTCAAGTGACATTTTTTGTCGAAAAAAAACAACGTTGTCCCATGCGATTGTTTGTGCAAAAACGCCATTGTCGTCAACGTGTTAACATTCTTTTCAGTTTCGCTGAGATCGTATCAAACGTGTCCACTATAGTCGCAGAATGTTTTCAGGTGTTTAAAAAAAAAAACATTGATAAACGCAAAACGCAAAAATTTTGACTACCTAGGTGACATTTTGCCCATTAGACCACCCGCAAAATGCTCGATTCGGATTCGTGGCCAAACTGGGAATGGCTCCAGTGGAACCACCGGAGAATGTCACATGTTTGAGAACAATCACCCTGACGAAAGATGAGCCACAGGCTGTTTTTGGTGGAGGAAGCGTACTCGAAGCAGAAAGTTTATTTGGTGTTAGTACTATTGAGAAATTCGAAATTTCAGTGTACAAAGCTCCGATTTGCGTCAAAAGCGACTGTTTGTCAGCTAAGGATTGCAAGATCATTGTCGATATTTCAATCTATTGTTCCATCGAAGATCTAGTTACCATATTGCTATTTGCATCATATAATATAGAAAAATCTATAGAAAGTATGCAATGTGAGCAAATCGCCCCTTCCGATTAACGGTCGATATCCTGAGATCGGTCAATGGAATGCAAGGTTCGTGATAAAACCAAAACGCTATCAGATTCCAAAACCCCCCCACCAAAAGTTCAAATATCATTGTCTTGTCCGATAAAATATCTTGTCCGATTCCTCATCTCAGCAAAAAGAAACACCTTCTACAGAAACCACAATGTTGACTTTTGGCCAAAAGATTCAAAAGAGAATAACTTTATAGAAATTTTGGTCTTGAAATGTTTTTTTTGCTTCTTTTCTTGGTTTTGGTTTATTTTAGGCTTTTTTTATAAGAGGAGGCACCTCAAATCCGTTCTTTCCTGTGACCTCCACTTTCTCTGAGACTGTCTCACTTAGAAAAATGGCTATTGATCTGAAATCTTGATCTATCCTTAGATTTGCTGGTGTGTAGATCTGAAAAGGAGTGAAAATACGATTCTCCGTCGTCGTTTTTACGTAAGATAGGAGAAGGGTAATTGTATCGATAGAGATTACACTTGACCGTTGACCACGAAGTTCCTCTATCGTTTGTGGGAAGATTTTCTGGAGTCTCTCCATTCCTCTCACTTTTTCAGTGAGACTTTTCCTCTCACTAGCTTGTTCAGGTTTTATACCGACAATTCATCCTCTATATTAACAACCCAATTCATCGCCGATGGCTTCATTTATTTGAATGGTTTGACCTGGAGTTTCTATATGGCTTTAGGAGCTTTTTCGTTTCGACGTTTCGACTCTGCTTTCATAAGTAGAATTATTTTTTTTTTTGATTCTATTGATAAATTTAACGATCAGATGCGTCGGATCTTGTGATACTTTTTATTGATGGGTATACTAATATGAAATATCGGGTCGAGAAATCGAATCGACCCACCTGGATCATAGCCGCGTTCAATATTTTTGAATTTCGGAAATTGAGGAAAATTCGAGAGGTGAATTTTGTTGGAGAACAAATTATAACAGCTTGTTAAATTTAAAATGATCTACAATTTTGACAGCGACATTTAATCATATTTTTAAGTTTATCCATTTCTAGGTCTAGTTTCTTAGCTAATTGGACGAGGGATGCTTGCGAACTTAAAGATCACTTTTGAAAGGGGAGCTAGCCTAACTTGTGCAGAATTTTGCGCTGAATCCGATGGTGCATGCTGTTTGGGTGTAAATGGGAGCAAATTGCAGGTTGTTTGCGTTTTAAGGTTTTAACATGGAACATACTGGCACACGGAATCCACCCGTTATGGCGCCACGTCAAATTTCTGCACAAGATAGACTAGCTTCCCTTCAAAAGCGATCTTTAAGCATCCCTCGTGAGCCTATTTCATTCATCGATTGAATTTCAGGATCGAACCTCAAATCCATGTGAATATAAAATCTACGCGGGTCCACCCAGTGGAACAGAGAATCATCCGCAACGATTGCTCAATACTTACAGGTTAGAGGTAGGCGATATTATCTAATCTAGAAAAATATAGTGATAATGACCCCTTTCTGGAGCAATACCTCCTCTCCGATCTCTACAGTATCCTCGTTCCACCCGGATGCGCACCCAGTTTGGCCGTCGATTTTAAATTCTGTAAGAACAATTGGAGGCATATTTTCTTACACAAATAAGAATTTCTTACACAGTTAGGAAAAACGTAGATAAAGAACAAGTTATTGTGTACATTGTGCAACTACAACCACAAGTAATGATGCTTTTAGGGGCCCCCCCCATCCTTATAAACCACCAGCGACGACACAAAAGGACATTTGTGAGGGAAGGGTGTTCATGATGTCGCGAAGCTATGGGAATCCAGATCATTTCGAGGGAAATTTTGATGCTAGCTATGATCAGCAATCTTTTAGCCAAATGATCATTTGTGGTGGGTGAACATGGACAACGAAATCTTATCCCAGAGTCGAAATTAACATCAAACATCAAGTTTTTTTGCATCAGCATTTAGGTTTTACAGGGTGCGTCATAATTATTGCAACAAGAGTTCAAAGACCGTTTTCCAAACAGCTTTCTTATTTTTTTTTTTGTTGTTTTGCGTTCTATCTTCTTTATTCTTGCCTAATTGCCTCCCGCTCACACGAAGAAGACGGTTCAGGACTGGTGTTTGGCCAACTTTCCCTCAGTGATCACCAAGGATGAATGGCCTCCAAACTCACCGGATCTCAATGTGATGGACTTTTTCCATTTGGGCAATCTTAGAGGCTAATGTCTGCTCTCGAAAACACACAAGTTTGGACTCTTTGAAGAAGTCTTTGACCAAAGGATGGAAGGCGACTCCTCAAGATGACATTCGGGCCGCAGTGGAGGCATTTCCGAATCGATTAAGGGCTGTTATCAAGGCAAAAGGCGATCATATCGAATGATCTCTTGTTTAAACATTAAAAACATTAAAAATCCGGAAATAAAAAGTAACTTCAAGTCTTCAAGTCTTATTTCCTTCAAGTATTCAAATATTTTTTTAAGATCGGTCAAAACGTTTTTTTTGCTTAGTTCTTGGTTGGTCGTTATATTTTTGTTTTTCTTCCCATTATTTTGAATAATGTTTTTGTTTTGTTCATGCGAATACTAGGGCACATTGGCTAAATTATTTGCAATAAAAAGTTCTTTCTGAAAGAGTCATTTGGGTGGGACAAAGTTCTACAGGGTGGGACAAAATTCTGGAAACAAATGTGCGATAGATAAGCCGCCTTTATATTTTCGGAATATTTCAGACTTTTAAGATGGGTCAAGACTTTTTTTTGCTTTGTTCTTCGGTGTTCGTAGTTATATCTTTGTTATTTTTTTCTTCCAATTATTATGAATATTTTTTCGTTTGCTGATTCAAAAGCTAGGCCTGATTAAATGATTAAAAATGCTTTTCCGTTATTTTTCTTGAAAAATTTTAGGCCTATTTACCAATTGCAATCTACAATCATTGCCATAATTTTCCTATTTTTGATCGTTTACCCCATCTTAGACATCTTAGACTGATGATATCTTAGACGTTTACCCCGTTTACCCCATCTTAGACTTGCCTAGTCAGGTAACAAGTTATTTCTCGATTTAAATGTTTCATGTCGAGTCAGCAACACTCGTCGGGAACTCTCTGTTCTTATCGGGAGATTCTCCTCTGACAGCAAGCAAATTGCTTCAACATTTCTCAGATAAGAAGAAATTTTTCGAAAGATTTTTCCATTTCCCTGTTTTAAACTCAACCTTCTCCCAATGTCCGATCAATTTTCCTTTGATTCTCTTCCATTTGATCTAAAGAACTCAATATTCGAAAAAATAGGCTATCCAGCATCATCAAATCTTCTTCAACTCAACAAACAATCTAGATATTTTATTTTGAAGAATGGATTGTTTATGAGAAAAATCCATGAAATTCATTTAACTCGATCATTGCAAACTTTAAACAATGATTCATCAAGGAAGAAACTTTGCTTTGAATTGATCCTTTTTGCTGAAGAGAAGGCAACATTTTATCTATTTGATGATACGGTAAAAATTAACGGAAAGTCAGTGGCAATTGCAGTGAAATTCATGTGGAAACTATTGAATCAAATCCGACATTGTAGAGAAATGGAAATCGATTTCACAAAAACCTCTATGCCACTGGTGAAAGCAATGAGGAAGCTTTTGAAATACTCAAATTTATTTCCAAAAGTCCTAATCCTTCAGAGTATTGACTTTAAAGGGGATACCGCAATAGCAAAAGTCCTTTTCGAAAATCTCCGTCTTAAAGTTGAATCTTATATTGGACTTCATGGCGATCTTGGGTCCTATGCTCTTGTCGATCTTCTTCAAAATACCCCTTTTGATGGCTGTGAAATGTTGCATGTGAAGAGCCTGGACCCTTGGAAGAAGATTGGAAGATTCGAAAATTTTCATAAAGTGAAATCACCCAATTTTTTCTGGACAAATTTGGAAGAAACAAATTTTGATAAAGAAGTCCAATCCTTGATTCGAAGCAATTTTGAAAAAGAAGCCCCCAAGAAACTCATTTTCATTCAGAGCGGATGCATGGGTTTGCCAGAAGGCTCATTTGAAAATAGGTTTGCAGAGCTTTTAGAAAAAGCTCATTTTGGCTTTTTTTTCGAGAGATTAGAAGATGACAGTGATCTGAAAAGATCTTTGCTGAATTCAATAAGAATTCAATTTAATAAACACCGCTGCAAATGTTTTCGTAATTGTTTGAAAAAATCAGAACAAACTGGAAGCGCATTTTTCAAAAGAAGACTTTCATGTAGAAAATCGGTGATTGCTCTTTTTTGTCTTGAGGCGTATGGCTGCACAACAGGTCATGTACGGAAAACGTTCATCATCAAGGTGATTGAGGATTCATTTTGAAATTGCCCCAAGTTTAATGTGCTCAATAAATGTGTTCTTTTGCTAAATAAACTTTTGTCGGAGGACAGCTTTTTCAAGTGGCAATTCTCTCACAAATCTATCTTGTACCACCGAGGATTTTCTAAGTTTCTTTTCTGAGGAAAAACGATCTACATGTTCCCATTATTTGTTCTCGATCCGCTGTTGCTTGAATGATGGATGAAAATGTCCAACAGTGAGTAACATCTCTCCCTTTTTTGTTGACAGCCGACCACGGCGCGGATCTCCAAAAATGATTCCGGTCGACAAGAATTTATAAACGTATAAAACGTTCAGCATCACGGAATCAATTTTCAAAAATCGAATTGAATACTTGAAGTCAAAAAAGAAAATTTCTTAATTTACCTTTGACCTTTGACTAATAAATTCATTTTATACTTTTTTTAGACATCTTTTTACACATTCGACTACAGGATCAAACAGAATCTCAAGTAGGACGTCAAAAATTTATAGAAGTTCACGTAGTCATCCTTATCAAATTTCGGTCGGTTCTCATCCCCATCATCTTTCCCTTTATCATTCTTTTGCGGACCGTATTAGTAGGGTTTGGAATAAGCTCCCGTCTGGTATCTTCTCGTCTGTAGGAAAATTCAAAGTATCTGTGAACGAATTAGATCTTATTGCCATGTCAAATCTGCCCTATATTTAATCTTTTTGTATCTGTGTTTCCTAACTGTACTCTTACTGTGCTATCTTTAGTTTTCTCTTTTTTCGGTGAGGATATGATAGCAATATGTTATATGCAGTTATGATTATCTGATTCGCTTCTATTCGCCCCATGAATGAATAAAGCATATACACCGTCGATTCTGTAAAGAAGCGAATTGAAGCCTGTATCAAAGCGGATGGAGGCCACTTAGAAAATTTCTTGTAATTATTAAATGCTTTTGTTACAACTATTATATAAATAAATATTTTTACATTTTCTTTGAAAGAAAATTAAATTATGGCGTTTTCTTTGGCGCACGTAATTTTCAGCCACCCTGTATATATGTTGTGTCCGATTTAGATTTCCGTCCGATTTAGATTCAATCTAAATCGGACGTCCGATTTAGATTGAACTTATCGCGGACGTCCGATTTAGATTACAGTCTATATCGGACGTCCGATACAGATCGAACAATAATAAACGTGCTTAATATATGTTCTTAAGCGTTTTTTTGCAATTTTCTGCGCTTTTCAAAGAACATATGTTAAGCACGTTTATTATTGTTCGATCTGTATCGGACGTCCGATATAGACTGTAATCAATAAAAGACCTTTGAAAAATGCAGAAAACTACAGAAAACGCTTAAGAACATATATTAAGCATGTTTATATTATTGTTCAATCCATATAAGATTTAGATTGAATCTAAATCGGACGTCCGATATAGACTGTAATCTAAATCGGACGGAAATCTAAATCGGACACAACATATATATGTCGTAGCCGATTATGAATGAGTGGGTCTAGGAGCGTCCAACCATCAAGTATTTGGTATCATTCAACGCAGAATCATTAATAATTATGTTAAATTTTTAAAATTAGAAAGATTGGATAAAAAGAAAAAAAATTATGGGGTCTCAAAGTTTCCTCTTGAACAAACAGTTTTTTTGCTCTAGTTTTTTTTCTTTTTATCAAATCTTTCTAATTTTAAAAATTTAACATAATTATTAATGATTCTGCGTTGAATGATACCAAATACTTGATGGTTGGACGCTCCTAGACCCACTCATTCATAATCGGCTGAAATTCATAATCGGCTACGGGGGTCCCGCCGATTTTGAATGAAACGTTGTAGCGCCGGAAATTTTTAACCTAAACTCACAAATTTGGTACCAATCGACGCAGAATTCAATTCGCTACAGGATGATTTAATATTGTCCTCATACATTAAAGGGTTGCTCTACTAGAAAGATTTACCGAAAAAATTTCATTCATAATCGGCTACGACATATATAAACTTGAAAATAAATCAATTAAAAAATCAATCAATTAAAAAATTTGGCCATCAAAACACGTGCAAAAATATTTGAATAAATGAATGAAATGAAAAATGAAACTATTAAATTGAGGATCCTGAAAGTTACTCTCGTTGTTGGTTGATCTCGAAATGTCGTGAAACCTTTTTCTGAAGTTAATTTGTTTTCCCTCTTTTCCAGACGCTGTGGGATCTAGGCCTTAGGCTTAGCTTAGCTTAGCCTTGTTTTTCGCAAGAACACGCTTTATTTGGGCAATTTTTGGCTCATTTTTTCCTTTACAA